AAAAAAAAAATTTGTCTTGTTAATTTTTTTATCATAATCCGAACATTTGCTTCCACTCTGGAATGGCATTCCTTCTCTGATGACGTCAGTTTGACGGCTTGGGCAGAATATGCTTAAACACACCCCTTCAACTGTTAGTGGAACACAAAAGATATTTTGTAGAATGTTACCAAACCATTTTGGTCACCCTTGATTTCTACTGTATGGACAAAAATTTCTGTGTTCCACAGAATGACATTATGTAACTAAACATCTAAACTAAACTAAACATCTAAAGAGAAAGAAGTCCTTGCTTAGAATACAGAGTTTAACTGACTAGTAGGCCTATTAGTAAGATTGTGGTCACAAGTAAAACCATGGTCCTCATTACCATGGTTATATGGTTTTAAAAATAAATAATAGTAAACTATGAAATTTGTAATAAAAAACGAATTATGTAGAAACAGAAAATAAAGAGTGAGCAATAACAAAAACATATGTTTCTGAAGGTGGGCTTAGTGAGAATGCAAATTGATGTTGGCACCAATAGCCTCGTGGTTAGTGTGTCAACATACAGCGCAACTGCGCTCACGGCGACCTGAGTTCAAGTCCCGTCTCAAGGTCCTTTCCCAATCCTGCTCCCTCTCTCCTCCCAATGCTTTCCTGTCGTTGCTCTCTACTGTCTTAACAAGCTTAAAAATGTATAAACTGTAATTATGAAACAAAGTGACATATTTGTACTAGACAAGTGTGAAATTACTGTGGATGAAAAATTATATTCTGAGCACCATGTAGATTTACACAAACTGAGAAAGTCAAAAAGTGATACGTTGTGCCCTGCTCTCCCCTACTGAATGAACGAATTAATGAATGAAAACCATTGTGTGGCATCAGAAGACATGGAATATAGAGCAAAAGTCATTTGGACCACTTTTAGACATTTCTGTTGAATGAAATGCTCCGGTTACTAACGTAACCTCGGTTCCCTGAGATAAGGGAACGAGCGTTGCGTGAGACGCTAAGGGGAAAAGTCCTGTTTTACTCTGTACTGAAGTCTGATTTGTTCACGTTTGTGTAGCTGCACAAACCAATAGTGCTTTAGCCCATCAAAAAGGACAGACCCGACCCTTATACAAGTTGGCTCAGAGCGCCATTCATCAGATCATTCGACTGAAGCGACAGTCATCGATTTGTGTGCAGCTTATAGCGTGGCAAGTGACACAACGGTCTCTCCAGTTGCGTGAGACGCTAAGGGGAACACATCCAATCACGCCACGCTATGAGTCGATACAGGACATCCTGCTCTGCGAGCCCAGTCTCGGAGCACTAATAAGGACCACTGAGAACATGAGCACATTATGCCCCAAGCTAGTAGCTGAGAAGCACTAATATAACCAGCTTCGCCCAAGGGGGAAGAGTGGTACATTAAACTAAAAGAACTCGCACCTGTAAAGCAGGGACATCTAAGTTATAGAATCTGGCAAATGTGGATGGCGATGACCAGCCGGCGGTCGCACAGATCTCACCAATAGAAATTCCGCTGGACCATGCCCAGGAGGAGGCCATCCCTCTTGTGGAATGGGCCCTCACACCTATAGGGCACTGCAAGCCTTCTGAGGCATAAGCCAAGGCTATCGCATCAACGATCCAGCGAGAAATTCGCTGCCTTGTGGCCAGCAGTCCTTTATGGCGGCCTCCAAAGCAAACAAAAACTGCTCTGACTGTCTAAACAGGCTAGTGTGCTCTTAGGTCTACTCTCAGAACCCTTACTGGACATACTCTCAGAACCCTTACTGGACAGAGCATGCTGGGACCCTGCTCACCATCTGTAACGGGGAGCACAATAGGGAGATTACCTGAGCTCTGAACGGAGTTGAGAGCACTTTAGGAACATAACCATGTCTTGGCTTTAGAATGACTTTACAGTCATTAGTCCCAAACTTAAGACATGAGGCGCTGATTGACAGCGCTTGCAAGTCACCCACTTCGCTTAACTGACGCCAAGGCAAGGAGGAGGGCCGTTTAAAGCAATAAGAGCCACAAATCAGCCGAACTGAGCGGCTTGAAGGGGGGCCCTCTTAGGGCTCGCAGGACTAGTCCCAAGATGGCACAGTCTGAGGGCAAGGAGGATTCAGCCTCCGTGCACCCTTCAAGAACTTAACGATCAGGTCGTTTCTGCCGTTCGATTGGCCAGCTTCGAGAGAATGGTTCGCTGCGATAGCTGCCACATACACTTTGAGTGTGAAGGGGGCGCGCCCCTTATCCATTGCAAAAAGGTTAGCACATGGGACACGTCACATGATATCGGGTCCAAACTTCATGCAGAACACCAGTTAAGGAAGACCGACCATTGTAGGCTGTAAAGTCGTCTTGTAGATGGCACCCTTGCCTCCAAAATGGTATTGCTTACTCTCGCTGGGAGCTGTTTAAGCTCCCGTCAAGGCAACATACATGAAGGCTCCACAGCTCCGGCTGGAGATGCCAAATTATGCCTTTCGCATGCGAGAGAAGGTTCCTCCTCAGCGGAATGGGCCACGGGGCTGCTGCTGAGAGCTGCACTAGCTCTGGGAACCAGCCTGGTTCCTCCAGCGTGGGGCCACTAGGAGGACCCACCTGACGACCTGAGGAATCAGGGCGATCGGGGGAAACGATTATAGGCGAGCACTGGGCCAGTCATGGGCCAGAGCATCTCGCTGTATCGAGAAGTATGTTGGGCAGTGAGAGTTGTCTTCTGAGGCAAAGAGGTCAACCTCTGCCCTCTCGAAGACTGACCAGATCTCTTGAACCGTTTGAGGGTGTAGCGCCCATTTGCCCGGGGCTACCTTGCCTCTGGACAGCATGTCTGCGCCAAGGTTCAATCTGCCCAGCACATGAACCGCCCTTAATGAGAGGAGTTCTTTCTGTGCCCAAAAAAGGAGGCGACAAGCCATCCTGTAAAGAGTGTGTGACCTGAGACCACCTTGGTGATTGATGTAAGCCACCACCGTCATGCTGTCCGACCGGACCAAGACGTGGTGCCCTTTTAAAGCTGGAAGTAGTGTTAATTCCGTTGATGAAGACTATGACGAAAAATTTTAAAAGAGAGACAGACCCGCATCTGTGCGCGGGGCCAGAGACAGTCCAAACGGAAGGACTATATATTGATAGTCCACTCCCTCGAACGCGAATCTCAAGAACGGTCTGTGATGGGGGGCTATGTGAATGTGAAAGTATACATCTTTCAGATCCACTGTCAAAAATCGGTCCTCTGGGCAAATGTGCGCGAGGATCTGTTTGATAGTTAACATCTTGAACGACCGGTGCATAAGTGAGTGGTTCAGATGTCTGAGATCCAGAATGGGTCTGAGCCAGCCATATCTCTTTGGAACAAGGAAGTAGCGGCTGAAAATCCTGACTCGCTGTTCGCTGGGGGCACCATTTCCACAGCGTCTTTTGCAAGCAATGTCTGCACTTCTTTTCGGAGAACAAGCACTTCGTTGTCTGGAACAGAAGTTTGAATAATGCCTCTGAAGCGAGTAACCTTGCTGAATTATTTTTAAAACCCAACTTGACACTCCCCGAATGGCTGCCCAAGCTGTGAACGGGAGGCGAGATGGTTTATTTTTGCGAATGATAGCTCGCCAAGAAAAGGCGGGGAACTTGCATTCGCATGAGTGTGTGAGAGAGTGTGAAGAGGAAATTTGCTCTTTATTGTATGTGGGTCCGCTATCACAGCGGTAAAACATTCGGGTATGCGCTGCACCTGCAGGACGTGACCCACTGGAAACAAAACTCCATTGCTCAGAGGCTCCATCACCACCAAACTAGCCATGGTCTTGCCGATCGCCTGTGCCATTGCTTTCGTGGCACGCAGAGCCAGGTCTGTTGCTGTGCACAGCTCTTTAAAAGCCTCCTGGTGTTCTTGGCCAGACTCGTCCATACTACGGAGAAGCTTGGCTTGAAACACTTTGAGAACGGCCATTGTATGCAACTGCTTTCTCCAGAGGGGGGAGCTTGCTGTATCCCTTGTCGTCAGCACCGTCAACGGTGTTGAGAGCCGCTGCTGTAGAGGGATTTACTCGGGCCGAGTAGGGGGCGCGCCACGTCTTGGTGAGCTCGTCATGAACTGCAGGCAAGAACAGGGCGGGTGTTGGCGAGAGGACTGTTGACGGCTTTCCGGCAGGTACCACTCATCTAACAGGCCGTGGACGGGCTCTTCCGGAGCCGACCACTCGAGGTCCAGATGCTCTACCACCTTCGACAGGACACGGATGATTTCAGCGTCTGGTTTCGGCCTCAGTTTGAAAAGGGGGAAGGACTTTGTGCTCTCCGCCGGAACCTTCCCATTCTTCTGCATCAGAAGCTGCCAAGGACATGGAGTCATTGGCAATAACGTTCTCAATGATGACGTCCTCTTCAGATGTGCCAAAAGAGACCAAGCCAGAGAGGCACTGGTCTTCTTGTGTGAAACACAACGGCGAGACAAGAGGACGTGGGGAGGCCGGGGCACGCGGGCGCTGAGCCGACGTGACACCGCTTGAACCCGCTACTCTGCTGTTTCTTTCTCTTAGGACAATGTCCTATTTAGAGACTGACAGCCCGTGGTCCCCATTCACTTTCATTTTATGGAAAAGAGCAGCTAGGACATTTTGCTGCATTTCAAGTCAAAAAGTTTTAAAATGACATGAAGGGTGAACTTCATCTCTTCAAGCAGAAACCGTCGCAACAGAAAGGAAAATTACCGTCATGGCTAATGGCAGGCCAGGTTTGAAATACTTTGGTGTGTCTCTGATAGATAGCATGTAGGGTGACATTACTATTTTAATGCCAGATTTCTCTGCTTCCACAAGGTGACTACCTGAGAAGAAGAAAGGAGACAGGGTTTTTACAAAAACAAAAACTCACAATAATGATGCTAAAGAGTTTGTAGTGGTTGCCAAGGGCTTGCCATGCAGTTGCTATTGGATTGTGAGTGGTTTTAAGTTGTTTTTCAATGATTTTCCCACCTGAGCTGGTCATTACTGATGCTTTGACGTACACAGAAGACCCCAGTAAGCTGTTTGTGTCAAGATAGGCCTTCTTTATCTCTTCCAAAGTCAAACTAACATGTCCTCCATTCAGCTGCAAAATAAAACATGGAGTAACAAGAGTCTTGTACTATAAAGCTGATTTAAGGTACTTAAACTAATGTTTTTTTCTTATTTAACCACTTACATCATTTAGTTGCTTCATAGATGTGAGTCTCTTCTTTTCACCATCAATTTCAATACCAAACAGCACATATGCAACACCTTTCACTGGTTCACCATAAAGATACCTGGAAGAAATGCATACAGTGACCTCAAAATATTTTATATCTGGAAACATGTCTTTACTGTCACATTGGATTATTTGTATCAATCCTTTCTGAATAAAAGTATTAATTTCTTTAAAAAGAAAGAAAGAAAGATGTAAAATAATAATAATAATAAATGTAAAAAAATAAAATATAAATAATAAGTGTTACTTAAATGTCCAAATACTTTGAGGTCATTCAGAAGAGTCTGATTCACACACCTGGCTGTTATTTCTACCTCCAACTTTTCTGCGTCTAGTCTGAGGTGGGATGTCTTTGGAGTCAAAGTGACGTTGAACGCTGGGAGGACTTGAGAGAAAGGAGAAATGCTGTTAACCGACCAACAGAGAAACATCTAGCAGAATCTGGAGGTAATATGAAGGACTTACCATATTTCTTGACTTCAAACTCTCGGCTGAAAATGTTCTCTTTTCCCTGATCAAACTTCGCAACAACTTTCCACTTGCCCTCTCTATAAAATCAAAAAGAGACTTACACAGCAGCCATATATTCAAAGTATCAGGTAAATAAATAACAATTTTTGTCAATTCATTATTATTTTATAATATATTTGTTCTGTGTGCATACTTGACCACAGATGAGAGGGGGTAGGTGTTAGAGAGTATTCCATCGATTGCTTTGGCTCTAGAAATACCATATACTGCAATACCATCTGGATTCTGAAACATGTGCAAATTGTAATGTAAAGCATTGTTCCAGAAAAATAAAATATTTCGGTCACACTTTATTTTAAAGTCCAATTCTCTCTATTAACAAACTAGTAACTACATCTTTTGCCTCAATAAAATTAGCTGCTTATTAATAGTTAGTAAGGTAGTTAAGTTTAGATATTGGGTAGTATTAGAGATGTAGAGTATGGTCATGCACAATATGCTTCATAAGTACTAATAAACAGCCAATGTGTTAATAATAGGAATGCTAATAAGCAACTAGTTAATAGTGAGAATTGGTCCCAATACTAAAGTGTTCCCAATATTTCCTTGCAAATACTGTAATGGCGTTTATGTCAATGCCAGTGACAGTCACACCTGAATCTCCAGAGAAATGGTCCTCTCAGCAGCACGTAATTCAGTGTCAGACACAAAAGCCCTGCAACGCACTGAAAAATTACAGTGATAAGGGGAAAAAAATGAACAACGTTCATTATAAACGAGCAGTATGACAAGGATGCGAGAGCTGACCATTGTCTCCAGGGTTGTAAACCGGTTTATCAGTCTGAATGAAGATGTATCCAGAGCGGAACGACACCGGTAATACTCTTTCTGCACGATGGAATGCTCTAAACTGAGCAACAACCTTCACATATTTCTTCTTTCCATCTGGTTGTAGCACATTTGGATCAATCTAAATGAAAAGACAACATTTCATTTTGTTTATGTTAAGCATGATGCAACATTTAAACAAGTGTAACTCTTTACTCTGAACAAATATATTCATAACTAACTTCACCTCGATGGTTTTGAGGGCGCTGTAGTTGTTTTTTGAATTGAGGATAACAGAGCCTCTCATTAAGGCAGTTTGGGAGTCTGGGTAATCATAGACCATGATGGAGACTGTTAATTGCCGGGAGAGTTTGTGACCCTCCAGCAGGATGTTCTGTTTTGTTCCAGGTCTTATCTTTGCTGGAGCTAAAACATAAAACCTGAACCAGAACACACATATCCAATAACACATAATTACATAACGTGTTTTCACTTTACATGTTAAAAACTCATTTTAAATTAATGTTTCTGTGGTGCAAGAAGTCAAAAATGTTAAGGTGGTCTAACCTAGAAAGAAAATTAAAGTAATTATGGACAGTCTGAAATTCAATAATAATAATAATAATCTTATTCTCTGTTTTTTTTTCTTTTAGAACATTTCTTTATGTGTGTGTGTATATATATAATATTTTAATATAATAATAATAATTATTATTATTATTATATATACATACCATTTTTATATTCATATAAGGAAAAAAAGCCATTGGCAGGCCAAAATTATTTATTAAATAAATAAATGTTAGTTTTGAAATCTGTGCAACCAAAATGGGGGCCATTTTGCTGTCATGTGACAAGAAAACATAAAACAGGGAATACAGGACCCTCATGACTGTGTGTCAAGATTACTAATACGTTTTTTAATAATATTTATCAAATAACTTCGCCTTTTTATTGCAATATTAGTTCAGGTTTTTAAATGGTATATATGATCTAAATAAATAAATACATAGTAATACTCCATATTTTCATAAAATCATGTTATTTATGTGTTTTAAAAAAAAGCCTACATTGAATGTTTGAAAACATTATATGAAATGATTAAGACACCCTCATACCTGACTGTTATACCATTTAACATTTTCTGAGTCATTAAATAAATGAACATGGATTCTTGGGGAAATTCCCGTTCTCTGTACATTGATTAGGGATGTGTTAAGTAACTTTAAGGGCATAGAACAGGAGTTGTGTACTTACGTTGGAGAATGGTCGATGACCGGCTCACTGTAAACACAGATTACACACTCAGTTAGAGATAAATCCAATATGAACCACTATTTTTATTATAAACACAATTTTATATCCGACCATATCCATAAAAAAATTTGCAAAATTCTCTCTGAAGCACAAAATACATGACACAAAAAAAATATAGGCCTACTTACACTATTCGCATATTAGGTCCCCAAACTGTCCTCTTGCTGTTCATTTGACAAGATAAAGACATAAATAAATGTCGAGAACAAAAATACAATTTATGCATTATTAAACATTATTAGCCTAATAAAATGTTGACGCACTGTCTTTGAGAGGAAGTCCGGCCATCAGAGACGTGACAGAGCAATGCCATCCATAACATCAGTGGAAGGAGCATCGTCCTGCTGAACTGAACTCTCACAATATGTCAGAGACAACAGCAGGAGAACTGAAATACCCCTAATATCCCTCCCACTAACCCACAACACCGTCATCTCCAAACTTTGAGGAACTCTTGTGTAATGTTTGCTTTCTGAGCACAACTGATACAATCTGACAACTCAAGCAACACAGGCTTTCAGCATTAGAAACATCACTTAGGCCTATTTAAATTATTGTTAACAAAATGCTATTAAACGTAGATTTTTATATTTTCTCATGAAAATTCGAGTGGAAAAACTACCAAGGTGTTTCTATGCTGTTAGCAATATCGGTTGCATTCTCAGCGTTGCCGCAAGGTGCGCTAAAAACCTTAGTGAAAGTGATGTGTGGCCAATTAAGTGCACACACACAGCAGTGAGTAGTGAACACACACCCAGAGCCCGTGCTGAAAAAAACAATAGACACCCTCACAAAATTTGTTTTACTGGTTATAATGGGACTTGTATTGGTTTTAATGGAAACTGCAATGGTCCCTGTGGGTCTCTACTGGTAAGTGGTTGCCTTCTATTGGTGGCTTGTAAAAACCACTAAATCCTAACTGAATATGTCCCAAAACACACTACAAAAAAACGTGTTTTAATGGTTAAAAGTTTTAATAAATGATTTGTATTGTTTGTAATGGTATTTGTAGTGGAAACCATTAGAATTTCTGTGATGGTTTCTATTGTTTGTTTGATTTCAGCAGGGTGGGCAGCCATTTTGCTGCGGCGCCCGGGGATCAGTTGTGGGTCTCAAAAGCAGTCATAGGATGGACCCTTTTCACAAGACTGTGACGTCGTTTCAACGGTCATCAGCATCGTAAATCCTCGAAAGTTATATTTTGATTTATATTTTAAGTTGTATAATAAAGTTATACCTAGGTTTTTTTTTTATTTTATGTACATTTATAACACTTTACTTTGTAATATATCACATTTGCATCAAATAAAATAAAAAATAGTTAATGATAATGCGAGGGTGTGCAGCACTGCTCTCAAAGTTTACCGAACTATGACGACTTCCGCTGCTGAGAAACCCGGAAATGTGAAAAAGGCCTATTGAGGGTGAAAGAGAGCACTGTATATTCACTCCCCCCACCTACAATCTCTCCTCCTTTTTATTTCCGTCAAAAATTTAAATATGGCACTACCCTAAGGTCTATTGCGGATAATAGCATGAATGTCATTTTTTTTACAGTCAGTTTTCTTTTTTAGGTCAACTACTGTCACTTTGAAGATAATCTTCATGAGTGCGTTATTTAAAGTCAAAGGGGGCGTTTACGACACTGTTTTCAACTAAAATATTTTATGCATTTTGGTTGTTAATTTTCACAACTCGACAACCTTTTTCAAACTTTTGAAAATTAGTTTCAAAGTGCAAGTTCTTGAAACCGATACCGTTATCGTCTACAAAAACAAACATTTGAGAAATAGATGATGTCATGTGCGCAGGTGCATAGTGTTTCTTTACAAAGTGACATGACCAGTTTCTGGCCTGGCATGAGCAATAGTGTTTTTAGTCATTATTGCAGATCCGTGTGAACGGGGATTATTTTGACAATGTTGTCGTCTATACGTGAATCTACACACGAAACGCAAAAAAACTTTTTGTTTTTAGTACATTATCAATGTGAATAGCTTTTTCCGACTCCGGAGTGTGCATCTGATGGACACTTTACTATCCCATGAGGCCACTCGAGAGGAAATGTGAATGGCAGTAAAGTGACACAACTGACGGCAAAAGTCACATGACATGTTCAAATTTATCGCCGAAAGTTTTGAAAGTTGAAAAAGAAAACCCCGACACACTCCTCAATATGAAGGAATTTATTTTTTTGGTAAATAATTACCTATTGTTTACCATAAGATGATATGTGTAGGAATCACAGCGATGTTATAATTTCAACTTGCGGTATAAATTAGACCTCACTGCCCGAGTCCGAGTCACTGTAATCTGCAACCAGAGACTTTCCAGCACACAAGTCAAAGCCTTTGTCCTCCTCTGATGGACTTCCTTTATGCGTTTCTGTAGTGCAGCTGTAAGTGTTTGAGTCTGTGCTTGAATTCACATTATTTGTGAGAGAAGAATGTGAGCCCATGGGGTTTGTGTCCACAGCTGCTGGGTTAGTGTCAGAGGACGAGCTGGAGGTCATAATGCCGGCAGCTTCAGTCTTGCTGCTTTCGGACTTTCTGCGTACCAGGATGTGCGAACTGGGTGTCGTACAGCGGAGTGCTTTAGCCACAGCTGCTCCTCGACCCTGCTGGCCTAACTTTTGCAAGAGGCTCCCAGCGGCTCCCCCTGCTGCTGAAGACGGGCTACTGAACCAAGAACGAAACGATATCTGTTGCCTTTTCGTCTGCTGTTTGTCATCATATGCTGGAAGAGAGAGAGAGAGATTTATCCAGCTTGTCAATTATAATCAATAAGAGATGTATACAAAAAAATTAATAAGTCAATAAAGTATAAAAAAAAAAAAGTAAAATAAAATTAAAAGATACAATTTAATGAAATTAAAATAAATAAAAAAATAGATACATTGATTTTTACTCGAAATGAGTGCAGATGAATTCATCAATAAATGAAAGTAAATAGATGGGTTAAACTCACAGTCTGGACTCTGGAAGGTGAGCAGTGATGCTAGTTTCTTATCTTCTTGTCTTTCCGGTAACAAAGGGATTGACAGGCCAGTCCTCATTCGCACTGCATTGTCTTTCTCCTCCTCCTCAGCAATCACTTTCTTCTCAGTCTGTATTTGCAAACCAAAAATTTATTAAAACGTAAAAATATTTCCTTATGGATGCAAATCCGCTACAATGGGCAACATATAACTCACCCTGAACTTCCTGCGGAGGGCGCTGTTAAGCTGAAAGTCGTCCTTCCACCCGGACTGGTGCTCTTGAAGCTCATTGAGAGACGGGATGGCGGCACGGAGCTTATCTTTATCCTTTCCTCCGTGATCTAATTTATACATGGCATCCGTCTCCAGCTTCTCTTTCTCACTGTGCTCTGTAGAAGAAAAACACATATCGAGCCTTCATTTCTTGATGACTGTCATACATTAACAGCAATTAATGTCTAATGAATTAATGTTGTTTTCTTCATATTATAAATCTTAAAACATTTGAAAGAATATTGGAAATATCAAAATTAATATTGATACGTTTTTTGATGACGGACAGAAAGACAGACGGACAGAGAGATAGCCAGACAGACGGATGGATGGATGGATGGATAGATAGACAGACAGACAGACAACAAATAGACAGGCAGAAATATAGACAGGCAGATATATATATATATATAGATAGATAGACACAACTATATAGACAGATGGACAGATAGACAGACAGATTGACGGATGGACAGACAGACAACATAGACAGACAGACGTATGGATACACGGACAGATAGAAAGACAGACAGATAATTTATACATGGCATCCGTCTCCAGCTTCTCTTTCTCACTGTGCTCTGTAGAAGAAAAACACATATCGAGCCTTCATTTCTTCTGTCATACATTAACAGCAATTAATGTCTAATGAATTAATGTTGTTTTCTTCATATTATAAATCTTAAAAACATTTGAAAGAATATTGGAAATATCAAAATTAATATTGATACGTTTTTTGATGACGGACAGAAAGACAGACGGACAGAGAGATAGCCAGACAGACGGATGGATGGATGGATGGATAGATAGACAGACAGACAGACAACAAATAGACAGGCAGAAATATAGACAGGCAGATATATATATATATATATATATAGATAGACACAACTATATAGACAGATGGACAGATAGACAGACAGATTGACGGATGGACAGACAGACAACATAGACAGACAGACGTATGGATACACGGACAGATAGAAAGACAGACAGATAATTTACAGACAGATAGATAGACAGATAGATAGATAGATAGATAGATAGATAGATAGATAGATAGATAGATAGATAGATAGATAGATAGACAGACAGACAGACAGACAGACAGACAGACAGATAGACAGACAGACAGACAGACAGATAGATAGACAGATAGATAGATAGATAGATAGATAGATAGATAGATAGATAGATAGATAGATAGATAGATAGATAGACAATATACAGACAGACAGACAGATAGATAGATAGATAGATAGATAGATAGATAGATAGATAGATAGATAGATAGATATGAATATTTGACCATTGGAGTGGCCAATTATTATACTACAATAATATTATAAACGTGAGTGTCACACCAGTAGTGAGTATCTGCTCATTCTCAGCCATGTCCCATCTTTCTTCCTTCCTTTGCGCTCCACTTACGATGACATAATCACAGGTGGCTGGGTCTGTCTGCATCTCTATGTAGTTCACACACAGATGGCACTTCATCCTGAACCTGTGGAACACAAACCTACAGGTTAAGATATGCTGCCTTGCGATACATGAACTGATCATGAAACTGAAATGTAAGAGACTGGGATGCTACATCACCTGTATATTGGAGTTGTGTAGTAATTGCCCACTTTCTTCTTCTCCGCATTGTATCGAACCCCTTTAAAGACGGAATAATTAAATATATACACATGACTACACGTGACAAACAATGTACATTTTACATGTATATACTGCAAAAATAGTATGAGTAGTACAGTATTATGCACAATATCAAAGTCGTACCCATGCCGATATGATTCTTACAGCCATCACACCAAATGTTATACGGCATCTCAAATCTGAAAACACAAAACACAGACTGTCAGCGCATGTGAATCAAAAAACAATGACAGAATTCACAATACTGTAAATGACTGTGTATTACCGGATGATGAGGATGCCCTGAGACAGTTTCCTAGCCCGCTCCCGCAGCGGGTGAGTTTTCCAGTAGCCGTTGATGGAGCCATGCTGTTATGAGAGCATGAGATACATATTTCAGGAAGAATCTTTTTAATATACATGCTGTAACCTGGTCATGCAAGACAGAACCGAGTAAATTGTATTTTTCGTTCTCACCTTGGCTGGATCGAAATCAGGAG